ATTCGCGGTTACCGAACCGCAACCACCCCTAGATGTTTTTGTTTGTCCTGAAACAGACAAACAAGGACATAAATGGAATAAAACATTCTTCCCTTCTTGTACTATATCATTACAAAATGCTGAATTTAACCTCAGATGAAGTCGCAGACTTTGATATACATAATATCCTTATTAAAATAATTTCTTGCTTATAGATTGAGATTAGATAACAAACCTAGCCCTATCTTGCTTATTGCTAGCTTCTTCTTCTTACATTCAGATATGAGTCTCTAATTCCACTCATTTTGTTGACAACAACATTCATAGGCATTCGCTCTGCTGGGGATATTGCAGAGCATGAGAGCCCTATCTGCATCACTGAAACCAAACATTCCTCCAATCTTCTTCCTTTGACTGTGCTGCAATCTTGATATCTTGTAATTTGTCTTTCTTGTATGTCATTAATATATCTATCATCGTCAGAACCCGAGTCATCTCTTTCTATGATCAATGAAGGGTCAACTATGTCCATAGCACGGTCAGGCATTGCCATCGCTGTGAATTGGTGAATGGTTAGACCATCTTTGAGCGTGTCACTGGTAGGTCTTTTTCCTGTGAACATTTCTAGCAACAGTATTCCATAGCTATAAACATCTCCGATGATGGAAACTTTCCCTCCCATCCCATACTCTGCCATTCAATACATACATTAGCATATACAGTCAAATGAAATTTAGAGTTTAGCTTCAGATCTTATTTAGAGTTTACTCATACTTCATTCCCAAGGAAAAGATGCAGTTATCATTCTTTTGATCAATATAGACATAATTGGGCTTAGTAATCAGTTTTTAGGAATAGAAAATTTGAGAATGATAGAAATTCATACCTGGAGGAATGTAGCCTATCGAACCCTTTAGACCAGCTGACATTGTTCGACTTCGGGGGGAATTATTTGGTCTTTCCAAGAGGAAGCTTGCTAAACCAAAGTCACCAACATGGGCTACCATATCTTCATCAAGAAGAACATTGCTTGGTTTTAGATCACAATGAACAATGAAGGTTTCACAACGATAGTGCAGATAATCTAATGCAGACGCAACGTCAATGGCAATATTGAGTCTTTGGATAAGTGTCAATCTGTTGCTTTGAGATTGCCCATCATCTCTTGGATGCAGCCATGTGTCTAGACTTCCATTTTTCATGAACTCAATAACTAGACTTTTGAAGTCGTTACCCTGATAATCAATGGTTGAGCAAGCAGTTATGATCTTGAGCAGATTACGATGTCTTATACTTTTTAAAGCTTTGCATTCATCAATGAAACTCTTGGAAGCTCCTTCTTGTTGAAGGTTTAATACCTTAACAGCAACTACCGTTCCATCACTAGGGAATACCCCTTTGTAAACAGAACCAAAACTGCCCGAACCAATCAGATTGTCCACAGAGAACCCGTCAGTTGATTCAACCAGTTCTGAGTAAGAGACACCTAATCTCCAATCCTTATGAGAACGTGAAGTCAAAGGTCTACCTCTTGACTTTTTCATCATTGAACAAGCAACAATGAAGCATGATAGAGCAACTATGAACGCAAGTGCACATGCTATGGGGATACCTACTTTTGGGACAAGTACTCCTCGAGATGAATGGGGCTTTTTGTTGGAGCATGCATGCAGATGTAATTCTGGTATGCCACCGCAGAGCTTGTCATTTCTAAGAACTGAGAAACTACTTGCATTTGAAAATATCCCATCTTTAGGAATTTCACCCACAAAATCATTATGAGAAAGATTGAGATACTTAAGAAACCTAAGCTTGCCTAGAAATTCAGGAATCTGCCCAGATAAATTATTGCGTGAAAGATCTATTTCTTCCAGGCTTGATAAATTTTGAAGAGATTGAGGAATTGTTCCTTGAAATTCATTACCTTCCAAATGCAGACGCTCCAACATTATACAACTGCCAAGGGTTGTAGGGATTTCACCAAATAACTTGTTTCCGGATACATCTAGCTCTGCAAGATGTATTAAATCACTCACTTCAGATGGTAGTGGACCAGTCAATGAATTGTTAGAAATGGTTAAAGAAATTGAAAGGGATGAAAGCCCAATAAGCTCTTTAGGTATGGTACCAGTTAGGTTGTTACTAGAAAGATTGAGTATCAGTAGATTTTGGCAATTTCCAAGACTTGGAGGTATACTTCCTTCAAACCTATTATCCTCCATGAAGAGCTGTGTCAATGAAGTCAAGTTACCTAGGGAGGAAGGGATTGGCCCAGAAAAGTTGTTAACATTCAAAACCAGTCTCCCTAATTTCTGAAGCTTCCCAATTCCATCAGGGACACTCCCACCCAAATAGTTATGTTCCACTTCCAGAGTGTTCAAGCTTAAGAGATTTCCAATGTCGGTAGGGATGCTTCCATGTATCAGATTGCCCCCTATAGTAAGATGTTTTAGTTGGGTTGAAAGGTTAGCTATAGATCCTGGCAGCTCACCTCCAAATTGATTTCTGGAAAGACCCAACACCTCCAGACTAGTACAATTAGCCAAGAAGCCGAGGAAATTCAGGTCACCAGTTTTCCCACTTCCCAATCTATTACGACGAAAG